TTTTCTTCTGACTTCGAAGGAATGGAAATACTTAACCACCCCATTCCACTTCTACTAGAAACAGGGTATACACAGGGCCACATAACCTATCTTAAAATATCTGAAGGGCTACTATATGAAAGAAAGAACAAACTTATCCTGAACTCTTCCAGGGACCAAAGCTAGGAATAATGAGTAGAAATTTTAGAAAAAAGTTTCTTGGGACTTAATAAAGCAAAAAATATTACAGCAGTTTAAAATTTTAATTCGTTGCCTCATGAAAGAAAAAGCTTTCCATCATGAAATGCATGTATTAATTCACAAAACCTTATCAAGTGGCCAGTAGAACTAAAATAGTTTCCTTCCTGATCCGAAGCTGCTCAGGAGCTAATGGAGTAGATGAGCAATTTTCAACCGGTGTGCTGCAAGAGGTATACTGGTGTACTGCGAGAATTTTTAAAACATGCAATGCCTGGCTATTTAGTCAGGGGCACTGACCTCTTTTCCCTTAGATTTTCAAATTACAAAAATGAAACAGTCAATACAACAATAGCTGCCCGCTATGAATGAATCAAAATTATACCCATTTTTTTGTCAGATCGGCAAAAAATATATATTTTTGGCATGCCACAGAATTTTAGTAATTAGTTTATGTGTGCCATGAGATGAAAAAGGTTGAAAATCACTGGAGAAGACAGAAATCTGAGCCTAAAGATTTCTGATCCCCTAGGTCTGCCTGTTATACTACCCATAGCATTTATATTTCTTTTTCAGAGCACTTACAATTACCTGCTTAATGTCTGTCTTCTCTTTAGTCTCTGAGCTCCTTAAGGGCAAGAACTGTATCTTTATTGATCACCACTTTACCACTTAGATTCAGCAGTGGTGCCTGATACATTATAGGTGCTCTTAAGCAAACCAAAATTTACATAGCAGATTCAGAAATAGTATGATGTAAATATACTATGTAATCATGGCACTAGAAAAGAAGTCTAAAAGAAACAGAATTAAGTGAAAACATGGAATTCAGCCTGGAATGATAACGAGGACTTTCTCAGGATGGTGGCGTATACAAAAATTCTTTATTTTTTTAAATTTTTCAATTACAGTTTACATTCAATATTATTTTGTATAATTCTTAAAGAACATGAAGGAGTTAGTAAGGCAAGGAAGGAAGGGAAGAGAATCCTAAGAGAGGAAACAGCATGATCAAAGTCATAAAGACATTAAATAACATGATGCAATCTGGCAACTTATTTAATATGGCAGGATTACAGGGCACATATTGAGAAATATGGAAAGAGAGAAGACTAGAGAACAAGAGAAGGACAAGGTCATACTAAAAAGTTTGACAATAATATGGCAATGAAGAGTTCTTCCAGACTCTTATGCAGAAGGTCTTCCAATTTAATTAAGAAAGTTCATTCTGGCCCTAGTGGGTTTGGCTCGGGGGATAGAGCGTTAGCCTGCGGTTGAAGGGTCCCAGGTTCGATTCCGGTCAAGGGCACATGCCTGGGTTGTGGGCTCGGTCCCCAGTCGGGGGTGTGCAGGAGGCAGCCAATCAATGATTCTCTCTCATCATTGATGTTTCTATCTCTCTCTCCTCTCCCTTCCTCTCTGAAATCAATAAAAAATATTTTTTAAAAATTTTTTAAAAAAAGGAAAGCTCATTCTGGCAGCAGTGTGTAGGATGGATGAGAGGTGGGGAGGCCAGAGGCAAGGAGACCAGTTGAAAATGTGAATGGCAGCCCTGACCAGTTTGGCTCAGTGGCTAGAGCGTCGGCCTGTGGACTGAAGAGTCCCAGGTTCAATTCCAGTCAAGGGCATGTACCTTGGTTGCGGGCACATCCCCAGTAGGGGGTGTGCAGGAGGCAGCTGATCGATGTTTCTCTCTCATGGATGTTTCTAGCTCTCTATCCCTCTCCCTTCCTCTCTGTAAAAAATCAATAAAATATATTTTTTTTAAAAAAGAAAATGTGAATGGCAGAACAAAACACTAGAACATGAACACCATTCAGCCAAGTTCTTTGCCACTTTATAGCAAGGATTGCTTTTCCTTCAGTGTCCAATAACAAGTTCCTCCTTTCTCTCTGAGACCCACCAGAATGGTCTCTACTGTCAATGTTTCCACCATTCTCTGCAGAATTACTTGTGTTCTATAAAAAGATGCAGGCTTGCTCTACAGCCCTCATCTTTTCTTTCTGAGCTCTCACCACTAACACCCTGAATGGTCTATTTACGGCAATGTAGGCTTCTTCCAGCATGTACCTCAAAACTTTTCCAGCCTCTACCCCGTACTCAATGCCAAAGTTGTTCCCTCATTTGTTACAGCAGGACCCCACTTCTTAGTACTAATTTTCTCTCATAAACCATTTGAGCTGCTATTACAAAGTACCATAGACCAGGTGGCTTATAAAAAACATAATTTATTTTCTCACAGTTCTGGAGGCTGGAAAGTCCAAGATCAAGGTACTGGTAGATTTAGTGTCTGGCAAGAGCCCACTCCCTGATTCATGGATGGTCATCTTCTCACAGTGTCCTCACATGGCAGAAAGGGCAAGTAAGCGCTCTGAGGTCTCCTTTATAAGGCACTAATCTCATCTATGAGGGCCCTGCAAAAGGCCCCACCTCCTGATACCATCATATTGGAGGTTAGAATTTCAACGTATGAATTTAGGGGTAGGGGGGGAACACAAACAGTCTATAGCACCTTGCATCTATAATTGCTCAGTGATAGAATCTACCGTATTTCTTGCCATGCTGTTTCCAGTTATTTATGGAATTATTCTTCATTTTAAACCTCCAGACTCCACCAGTGTTAATGCTCTGACTCTAACCTACCATCAGCTAACACCGCTTGTGTTTTCATCTCCCCTAGTGCATTATGATCTGGTTCAGGGTGAACCAATGGCATTAACTCAGCTCATGTGTCAATACATAGACTCTGCATATTACTTTGTCACAGTGTAAAATTCCATACTTTTAAACATCTAGATCAGGGGTCCTCAAACTTTTTAAACAGGGGGCCAGTTCACTGTCCCTCAGACCGTTGGAGGGCCAGACTATAGTTTAAAAAAAAACTATGAACAAATTCCTATGCACACAGCGGCGGCAAAAACACCCGGCGGGCCGGATAAATGTTTTCGGCGGGCCGCATGTGGCCCACGGGCCGTAGTTTGAGGACCCCTGATCTAGATAAATAAAATATAGTTTGTATGTGTGTGTGTGTTTTAAATTGTATTTAGAGGGAGAGAGAGAAAAAAACACTGATTTGTTGTTCCACTTATTTTTACATTTACTAGTTGCTTCTTGTATGTGCCCTGACTAGGAATTGAACCCTCAACCTTGGTGTATCGGCATGACTCTCTAACCAACTAAGCTACCCAGCCAGGGCTTAAAATATAATTTTGATGAAAGAAAATATTCTCCTCCAAAATTTTAAAGCATGATTGCCTTAAAAAACAATGTTGCCTGGCCAATATGGCTCAGTGGTTGAGCATTGACCTATCAACCAGGAGGTCATGGTTCAATTCCCGGTCAGGGCACATGCCCGGGTTTACAGCTCAAATCACCAGGGGGGGGAGGGGGGCATGCAGGAGGCAGCCAATCAATGATTCTCTCTCATAATTGATGTTTCTATCTCAATCTCACTCTTTCTTCCTCTCTGAAATAAATTTTTTTAAAAAACAACAATGTTACTATTTACAGTGTTTGGTATATAGAAGGCATTCAATAACTATATGATAAATGAAATTTCAGGTCAGGAAATCAAAACAAAATGCCCAACATGGCAAACTATGCATATGTTCTAAAAATAGCAATAGTCTAAATATCAGATACATAAAAAGCACATAGTGAGAAGGTGAGCTGGAGTGAAACTTTTGGGAGTTCTGACTGCTAAGCTGAGAAATTTGGCTTTTACAGAGAGCCATTAAGATTTGTTTATGATCAGATATCTGCCTAAGAAAGATAGTTCTGTAACTTCCCATTTCAGGGGGAAAGTATTTTCATCCTTTCAAATACCATTGAAATGACCAATCTATATACATAATCTATATATATAAAAGGCTAATATGCAAAGTGTCCCCATGGGAGTTTGACCAGGAGACCGCGAGTTCTATTGCTTGGTATGACATGCACTGACCACAGAGGGGTGGTACAGAACGAAGGAAGGCCCCAGCCGGCAGCAGGGGAAGGGAGCCCCTGGCCAGAAGGCCCTGATCGGCCCTGATCGCCAGCTAGGCCTAGGGACCCTACCTGTGCATGAATTTTGTGCACTGAGCCTCTAGTCTACATATATAAAAGCCTAAGCAACCAAACAACCAGTTGACTGGTTGCTATGACACACACTGACCACCAGGGGACAGACGCTCAGCACACAGGATCAGACTCCCTGTCTGGATTGGGCCAAACCTGCTATCCAACATCCCCTGAGGGGTCCCGGATTGCAAGAAGGCACAGGCCAGGCCAAGGGACCCCACTGGTGCACAAATCCATGCACTGGGCCTCTAGTGTAATATAAACATAGGAATAATTCTGTTTCAGGGACAGAAAAAGAAAGTATAGGACCAAGAAACTGCTATAAGACAAAGTGCAAAAAGGACCAGATTGGGGGAAAATCGAGCAGCCTGCAATTCAATAAATGAAAAGAGGAAAAACCTGCTTAAGAGATCAGTACATGGTGTCTCATACAGAACCAGAGCCCCACGCTGTGAATGGAAGTAGCAGTGCTGCAGGGCTGTCAACAGGAGATGCCACCAGAACAACCTCATCAAGACTACCCCTGTGAAGTGGGGCCGAAAGGAACTATGGCTGGAAGGCAACTTATAAAACTAGGATTGCTGCCTGTTGCCAGGGTGAGTGTAGGAAGGTGGGACAGGGGCATTGTCAAGGAACAAACCTTGAGAAACAACCAAATTGACACATCAGTGAATTTCTCTGAGTCAGCTTCCTCCCTACCTCAAACAAGCTATCAACATTCTAAATCTTGTAAAATTACCACAGAAAATATAAACTCTTACCTCTTTTTCTTTGGGACCAAAAGAATTGCCCAAGGACCTAGATAATCTCCAACGCAACTCATCTCAAATTCCAATACTGGACCCATGCCGATACTCTGTTAAACTGAACAAACAGAAAAACAATTTTCAGAAAGTTTACACACACACACACACACACACACACACACACACACACACACACACTGCAAAGACTTGAGTAAATAAAGTGAGGTTATGTTTCTGAATAGAAAGACTCAATATGACAAAGATGACAATTTGCCCCAAATTAATCTCTAATGTTTATGCAATCCCAACCAAAATCCTGAAGGGATGGTATGGAGAATTTCACCAGAATTTCCTCTACTCATTCTCCAAAGCCCAGCACTTTTTCCTCAGGTAAATAATTATGAGCAAGGCCTACATGTCTGCCTTTGATCTGGTCCCATATATACTATCTGAGAGAAACTCCTTGAAATCGGTGGCATGTAGATGGCAGTTTTCTTCATATCCCAGTACTAATGCAAGTTGTTTTAATTATCCATTGCTATATAATACACAACCCCAATACTTACTAACTTAAAACAGTAATCATTTGTTTGCTTGTGATTTTGCATTTGCACAGGGTTCAATGGGGCAGTTCATCTCTGCTCCCCATGACATTAGCCAGGTTGATTTGACTGAGGCTGGGGCTGGGGGTGGGGGGTCCACTTCCAAGATGGCTCCAGCTTGGTGCTGGCAGTCACATGGGAGCTCAGTGGGGCCTGTTTGCTGGAGGCCTTTAATGGGCCTTTCCATTTGACTGCATCAGTTTCCTCAGAGCATGGCTACTGGGATTCAGAAGGAGGAATGCCTGTGCTCAGAGACCCAGAATGTCACCTTTCTGCAGTCAACTGGACAAAGCAGTGACAGGCCCAGATCAGGTTCAAGAAGAGAAGACATAGATCTCTGTCCTGAGGGAAGGAGCTGCATGCATGTATAGGGAGGGGCAGAATTATTTGGGGACCATCTTTGGAGATTATTTTCTACTTGGGTTGTCCCTTGATTTTTTATTCCATTGGTCATTTTGATCAGTTTCCATAAGAGATGTCCAAATGTCATAGTTTAAGCCATAACCCTTCTGAGAAGTAGTCCCAAATAATTGGTAATTAAATTATAATTCATATTATGAAAGTTAGGCCTGATACATATATTTTTAATTTAGATATCCAGTTATTCCATCATATTTTTTCCCTTTCTCCATTGAATTGTTTTGGAGTCTTTGTTGAAAAATCAATTGACCATATTTATGTGGGTCTGTTTCTGAATTCTGTTTCAATGATCTATGTGTCTTGTTTATTGTACCTTTATTAAAAGTTTATAATCAGAGAGTTTTGTTTCTTCAACTTTGTTGTTTTTCAAAATTGTTTTGGCTATCTTGGACTTTTGCATAACTTTTAGATCAGCTTGAAATTTTTACAAAAAAAGCCTGCTGGGATTTTTATTGAAATTACATGAATCTATAGATCTATAGATCCTTTGGAGAAAACTGATAACAAATAATATTGAGTGTTATGATCATGTAGATAATATATATCTCCATTTATTTAAGTCTTCTTTAATTTCTCTCAAGCAGTAAGTACCAAATAATTTAATTTTAAATGTTTGCTTAAATAAATAAAATGCTTCAGGCATGAAACCTCACTGATTAATGTGCAAAGGACTGTATGTGAGAAAAAAATTTCTGTTGTGGGCATCAAGTATTAGATTGCTAGCATAAGTAAAATATTTTCCCATCACTGTGTGTGGCTTTATAATTGCAAGTGCAGGTAATGGATAACCGAATGAATTTAGATTTATAATTGGCCATCAAGATAATTGGATTTTTGTATCTAATTTACCTGCAGAGCATGTGACCTTTATTTACTTCATTTGCATCTAAAAATAGGGTTAATCATATATTCTTCTACTTATTTTATGAGAGCACTGAGAGGAATTTAAATTAAGGTGTGGCTGACAAAATGGTGATTGTGAATATGCTTTTGAAAATGCATTAAATGCTAGATCTTTGGAGTGATACATAAACCAATGTTCAATAGATGTAAAAGAAAAAATGTCACACAGATGCACTCTTTTCTTTTTTTTAATCTTCACCCGAGGACATGCTTAGAGAGAGGGTGGGTGAGAGAGGGAGAGGGAGAGGGAGAGGGAGAGGGAGAGGGAGAGAAAAGAGAAACATTGATGTGAGAGAGAAACATCAATCAGTTGCCTTCTGTATATGCCCCAGACAGCAACCTTTCAGTGCACCGGGCAATGCTCAACCAACTGAGCCACTCTGGCCAGGCCACAGATGCACTCTTATGTGCCATCAGAGAAGTCCTTAAAAATCAGAGTTGCACAAACAGGCCAGACCTTTCAGAGAGATCTCTCAGCACACCAAAACTATTCCATAAAGAAAACATGCTCAAAGTCACTAATTATACGAGAGATGCAAATCAAAATGACAACGCAGTATCATCTCACACCTGTCAGAATGGCTATCATCAACAAATCAACAAACAACAAGTGCTGGAGAGGATGTGAAGAAAAAGGAACCCTTCTGCACTGCTGGTGGGAATGCAGACTGTATGCATGCATATAAGCCAAACCAATGGACATAGACAACAGGGGGTGAGAGCATGA